CGAGCGAACGAGCGAACGAGCGACTCGGCTGACAGGCAGCGGGCGAGTTCCACCCGTTCGCTGTACCCGCTAATAAATCGTCGACTACGAGCCGACAACGACGCCGCAGCCGCGAATCGAGCACGCGTTTTAATGATTTTTGCGCGAGACCCGCGCGCGGCGTTTGGTCGCCTTCCTTTCTTTATTTCCCTTTACGGAAACCCGGCGAGAACACGAAGATGGCCGAGTCTGCGCGAACGAATCAGCCACCGTGCTGCACGCCGCATCGCTAAACGTACTTATGCATGTATGCGAGAAACCGCCAAGCCGTTTTCCTTCTCCCTCTTTTTCCCTCTTCTTCCCTTTCGCTTTCGCATTTCTTTCCTACGGCCTCGTCGTTGCGTGCACTCTTCGCGTTCGCCTTCCCTTTCTCTTTGTTTACCAAACGACCTTGCGCCTCGTTTCATCGTTTTACGTTCTTCTTCCAATTCCATCTTCCCAATGCTTCTCTCACGCTTTGCTCCTCTCTTCTTTTTCCTTCTCTATTAATCACAATAGCCTTACCTTCTCCACTGCTTCCCTTTCCCTTTGTTTACGGTTTCGACTTCTTTCTTCCTTTTCTTTGCCATTTCACCTCTCTGTCGAACATATCAGCACTCCGTCATTTCCTCTCGTCCTCGTCTTTCCTCTTTCCTTCGTTGTTTCCTTCCTTCTCGCAATTTGCCTTTGCTTCCTTCAATTCGTCGTTCTCGCAACAACGCTGAACGAGATGAATATCGCCGGTTTGAATCATGCTTCACTTACGTGCCATCGCATATGTAGATTCTACGATTCACGCGAGACAATTAGGGCAATGTAAAAAGTTTGCTCTTCTATCGTCAGTAATATTTTGCAACATATTTTCCAGCAAATTACGCTTTACGTACATGTCTGTCTACATCTACCTACATTTGCTCCTACATTCTGTCTTACAATTCAATTTTCAGTTCATTACGTTTCGTTCGTCATCGCCATCGATTCTTTCCCGCCCGCCTCAAGTTCCGAGCGCAGTTGTGCACACGAGAAGCTGAGAAACCAAGTCGACGAAATGAAGGGTTTTGCGTATCCAACATGGCACGTACAACGATTACACTTTACGTGTGCCGAATGTACAAAACCCGTGGAATAAAGCAACAAAGTCATCTACATACCTGGAAAGGAAACGATGTGCCGGCCCATTGTTGGTTCGACCGGGTTTCCATCGATAGCCAAAACGCGAAAATCATGGCCAGAGATGGATAATAATACGGGACAATTATACGCGTTGGCGTTAACGAGCCGTAAGAAGTATTTCGTTCCATAATGAACTCGCAAGATGGATCCGTTGCTCTAAAAAAGAAAAA